ATTTGTTGATAATAGAAATGTTAAGTTCTCTAAAGCTTTGTGATACTTGACCCAGGCAGCAAAAGATCAGTTGCACTGGTAAGATGCGACACCGAAGATATGATTAATAACCTTTTAAATCTGAAGGGAGATCTAAAGGGATCCCCCCCCCACACACACAATAGAAGCAGGAAGCAGAAGCAGGGACCGTTGTTAGAAGGGAAGAAGGTGACTATTCATTGTTATTAAAAATGACTTAAATTTGATCATGTTGTGATATTAAGAAATATAAAAGTCAATTGATTGTCCATAATATTGCTATTCTATTTTTTAAAAGAAATGTTTTTTAAAAGAAAAGTCGCGGCACCGACTTGAACACACAACCCGTAGGTTAGTAATCAGGCACGTACACCAGTGGGTTACTAGGGAAGTCATATGAAGAGAGAGGTGAAACAGTACTACACAGCCCTGTCGCAGTACACGAATATAATTATATCGTTATTAATTTCTTTAGATACGCGATTTCACATTATATTAGCAGAAAAGCTTAAAACTACCACTTTTTTACAAACTATTTCTCATGTTAGTTAAAGACTTTGATGCTTAAAATGTTTAGGGAGAAATGGAATACCGGTGTGTATTTTTTCTTTAAAGTACCGATTCCTGGAATCTGACTGGCTGACACCCTTCTGAAGTGGTTCCATAATATCTGGTATACGGAAATGAAAGCGTAGATAAAAAAGCTTGGATTCTCATGTATCTAATACAAGTATCTTTTAATACAATCTTTGATGTGCTCTTGAGGATCCTTGTGATACTTTGAGCTCTGGTTGAATGATAAGTGTCGCAGTTTAAATCATTGTCGTAGTTAGAAATTATGAAACGCTCTGTTAAAAGCAAGAGAGTTTTTATGTCCGTTGCAGTAAAATAAAATGCCTGACAAAGTAGGGCTTGGACAGATTCCAAGTGCTTGTACAAATATGCTAAAGAAATTAGCAAAAAATGTCATTCCTTTATCGTATTGGCTAGATAATGTCCTGTCCTCGTTAGTTAGATCAACAAAATGCTGTGGTGTTTGTCAAAGAAAAAAATAAAAGTATTTTCGTTTAAAATGATGGTTAGAAAGAAAGTAGACCAGCATAATACTTTGAGTTTACAGCTTGACCAAAGTCATTCATTATTAATACTATTAGTAATATCTTCGGTTAAGGCTTTGATGCATAAAATATTTCTGCATAATTAAAATATTTCTGATAAAGGTAGGTTGTGTACTTTTGTCCAACTGAGCAATCTTGCTTTCATAAAATATACCAACTTTTTAATGACTGATGATTAACATGCTGTAATACACAGTTTAAATTTAAAAGCTCAAATGCTGTACATGAGAGGTTAAGCTTTATTGGCTCCTCCTGGGGGTTTTACTAGGTGATTCCGGATACTTTCCGGCATGACGTCAAATGACGCGTTACACCGTGTGATACTGTGTTTTGATGCGACACACTCACCGCGGCATACCTCGAAATACCCCACCCGTTTTGAATGGCTGCATCTGTACATCCCTGTGGTACTCTACAAATTTGAAAATCATCCCAATTTGAACATTCATCCCTTATATGTACTGTCTCTTATTTATTAGGAAATGCACACATTTTCCTCAATGCCAAGCATCTGTAATTTAAAAATTAGTCTATTATGGGTTACATTGTTAAAAGTCTTCTGAACATCTGATACATCATATGCACTGTGTGTGTCCATGTTGTAGCTAGTTGAAAGAACTGACTATTCTATAGAACTTTATTTCTGTATAAGTGATTCTCTCATTAAGTTTAAGTAATTTTTTCCAGTAATCTTGCATAATGTATAATAGACATTAGACTTATTGGCCTTTAATTACTTGGGTCAGTATTGGGAAATGGGATGCAGTTTAACAGGCCATGATTTCTGATCTTATTTACATAAATCCATTGATCTCTAAAATCAGGAAAAGGATAGTACAGGATTTATTATTCACATTTAGGGTTTGCCACTTTTGTGTGGTTACAGAATGCATTTCCATTCTTTCAAATGTGTACATTAATTTGTGTATTATGTCTCTCTCAACTACATCTCTGTACACAGACAGGTATTTGCTTTTTTAACTATCATCAGGGAAAAAAATAGAATTAATTATATAATTGGATATAATTTGGATATGTAAATATTTACATAACTACATCTAAAAAATACAAATAAAAAATTATTTATATTAGAGATCTTAACAAATGGTAGAAAAGTTGTTAAGCCAGCTGATTCATTAATTTAAACTTGCCACAAACGTTTTAGATTCAGCATTTATTTACCCATAATTATACCTATTACATAATTTTAAGATAATTTCTGTTGCTTATGTTATTATATATAGATATTTATATATTATATTTCAAAATATGTATTGTGTTTATTATTTTTAGTTACTGCTATTTTATTATTAGAGTTAATTTCAGGAAAAGGCAGAAAACAGTACTGTCTTTCAAAAGAATTATTTAATAATAAAGAATGTTTCATCTGAATAGTACAGGTTGTTGTTAATTGCCTGTCAGGACGTTCTTCAATAATTTCCATCATTATAAGATAAGTGATCATACAACTAGTTTACTTTCAAAACCACCAATATTCAAGAAGAACTAGATTCAGAACCCCCAAAACAAATACTGTACTTTATATATAGTCATGTTTTACACGAACTTCCACAGAACATGATACCAGACTGACAAATAAATCAGACAGGAATTTACACCCAATGATTTTCAAAAAAGGTTTAAAAAATACATATAACTCATACATCCTTTTTTGTGCTTCTAAATTTTCTCCCTCCTCCCCTTCGTCAGATGGGTTCTGTCCATAATATGCCACAGGCCAGATATACCAGCTACAGTGAGTTAATCTGTATCCAAAGGAGTTACAAGAAAAGGCCAATATCAAAATAATAACTGTGAAAACTGTGCATCAAAAAATTATATCTAAAACTTTAATCAAATATCTCTGTTGAATATGTTTCTGAACACAATTATTTTTTTCCATGAGAGCATTGAATATTATTAACTATTTAATTCATTCAAAAATAGTATTTTCATAGAGTATGATTTCAATCAACAGGGAATCATAATTTTCAAAGTATTTAAAACCATTACTATATACACCAATAAAACTACATCAGACAGGTCAATAATGTGTTGTAACCTGCTTTTATTTCAGAAACTGTGTTCTTTGCTTGTTAAATCCAACAGATAAAAACAAAAAACAACCATAAAGTGTTAAAGCATGACCATAAAGCATTATAGCATGCTGTATTTCTTAAGGCAACAAGAACTGGCCAGTCCATGTACAGTATACATTTAATAGTACTAATTACCTTTGGAGAGCCAGATTAAAAATTGTATCTATAAGATGAATATGACCAGACATGAAAAATATTTCCTAAAGAGGCACTGTATAATACCTATTTTTTTTGTTTGACCTTAAAATATACTTATTTTTATGAGTGTATTGTGTGAATGTGTAACAATCTGCATTTCTACAATAATCAGAAGAAAAACACTCAAAAATACAGTATTTTGTGAGCTGTACACCCAAGCCAAAATGTGCAAATCAAATTTAATTATCAAATCTGAGGAGACTCAAATATGCCATATTGAGTATTATGTGTTTTGTATTAACTCACACTGTGTCTTCTAAAGAAAAAATAAATCCTTTTAAATCCTGTGGTTTTATTTTTGATTTTCAAAACATTTAAAGGTATGAATAACTTAAACATGTGGATCAAAACACCTTACAGTGTTAAAAATAGATGCAGCATTCTTGTTGTTTAATTTTAACTTATACCCCATTTCCATAAGTCACTTTACTAGAGCATATGTCAGGCTGCCTGAGTTACCTTTCATCTCCACATACTGTAAGCATCTTTAAATAAGCACTGAATGAGTGACTGTATAAGTTTCAGATGTGTCAGTCATAATGCCTTTTACAGAATTGACCCAAGAAACAATGCAGCATGACAAATACAGTATAATCACGTTAGTGTTGTGCCTAAAATCCAAGTAATGTGAAGGGGGAGAAAATGCTAAAATAAATAGAGAAGTGCAAACGTTATCTGCTTTAGAAGCACAAAGAGATTCTACTTCTTCTATTTATTTGTTGTTGTTTTTTATTGGGTTATAATAAACATCAACAGAATTAATAGTGACCTGAGGACACTACTGATCCTGGGGTGGAGTGTACAGTAAGTTAAGGGATAACAGGTACTGATGCCTATAACTGAACAATGTTAAATCACAGAAATTACATTTAAAATTTATTTTTTAAGGAAAAGCACAAAAATACCCCAAAAGAGGCCTTAATTCTTATATTGTGAATATATGGGAACTGAGCCTGTTTTATTGTGCTGGGTATCTGTGTTAGTAACATGATTCATTCGGGGTGAATGTGATGTAACCTACTGTAGACTAGTCTGAAAGTCATTTTAAATCCACGTTTCTTTTGGCTTCCTGACTTGTTTGCTAGTGTATTGTAAGTTTCAGTTTTGTGGATGAGGCCCGAGGGGCAACAGTTTGAAACCTGGCTAGTAATATACTTCATTCATCCCGTCCTTCGGATGAGACGTAAAACCGAGGTCCTGAATCTCTGCGGTCATTAAAAATCCCAGGGTGTTTCTCGAAAAGAGTAGGGGTGTAATCCCGGCGTCCTGGCCAAATTTCCCATTGGCCCTTACCAATCACGGCCTCCTTATAATCCCCACCTATGAATTGGCTTCATTACTCTGCTCTCCGCCCCACTGATAACTAATGTGTGGTGAACATTCTGGCGCACTATGGCTGCCATCACATCATCCAGGTGGATGCTGCACATTGATGGTGGTGGAGGGAAGTCCCCATTACCTGTAAAGCGCTTTGAGTGGAGTGTCCAGAAAAGCGCTATATAAGTGTAAGCAATTATTAATGTTATTATTATTATTATTATCACTAGTATTATTAGTATTATTATAATTATTCATGTGACATACTGTGCTAATGTTCTATTTTCTAAAAGTCATACGGTAATTCATATGTTTACATACAGTACTGCTGTATTTACTTCAGGCTATTACAGTTTTCATTATTACTTCATGTAATCATGATTGTAATTTTACAATCAGGATTGTAATTTTAGGAGGCAGCCTGTGCTGTTGTTATATCCTTGACATGGCTCACTGTTCAGTCATCTGTGCCTCGGATTTCTGGACTCATTGCTTCCTTATTTACCATGTGCTATACAATGTTTATGTTGTGTGTAAATTGTCGTGCATAGCAAGTGTCTCTAGACCAGTGAAAAGAGCAGAAAATAATTACCATGTGTGATGTTGCTTTCTTATATGAGGCTGTATTTCTAGCCCCTCTTCTCTTTAGTACTTGAAGCCTTAAATATTTTCATTTTCTTTTTATTGAGCTTGGAAAGTATTGAAATACAATATTATATTTTGTAAACTGGATAGTTGCATCTGGTAAACAAATGAATTAAAATAATCACCATGTTCCCATAATAGTCATAAATATGGTCATGACCTTATTTGTTATGGTTTTTAACTTCCACATAGTGTTTGCTTAAAGCATGGGCTATTTTGTATTACATTTGCATTATGTAGATTTAATTAAATTTCAATTATCATGTTTGGTAAATTTGCTAAAAACATTTTGGAATTTACAAATAGTAATTACTATTTATGTGGTAGTGTGTTATTTGATGGAAAAATGCTTGTAATGTAATTCTTTACAGTTTAACTATCTATCAGTTAATCACTTACATGATTTTTAACCCTACAGTATCCAGTTGTATATACTGTAGTTTAATGTTCAAACTTGGTCTTTAAAATTATTGAATATCAGATGTTATTTTAACAAAACCATAGGTAAGTAGCCCAAATGTTCATGAAGCTTGTACTGAATAATTAAATATTAATTTAATGTGTTTTTAAATTCAGCTGCATATGGAAATGGGGTATTAACTCATTATCCACAAAAAATGCCTGGCACCATTTTTTTTAAGTAATATGCAAACGTAAAAAGTGGCAAAGCAATTAAATTTAAAATCACATCCATTCAATGCACACACTTGAAATGTTTTCCTTTATCTGACATATTTCAACTATGTTAGAATATCCAGTTTAACACTGTAGAAACATTTAATCACGTTTTAAACAAATAATTAAAAATAATTTAAAAGAAATATTAAGAAACGTTCTGATTATAAAGACATTACTTTAACATTTACATTTTACAGAATATTTACAATTAATGAATGACAATATCACAAACCTTTATATCTACCAGTCTGTAGGAAGCTGTATTATTTACAAAAATAATAACAGAAATACAACAGATGAACATATGAATTTTTCACATCTCAGTTAAACTGCTTTTTCTCAGTTAAACTGCTTTCTATGCATAAAGCACAATACATGTTGATGTCTCTAGATAGTCTTGGCAAAGCATTCATGTCCACAGCTTAGCTTGATTGTTAAAAGAGGTCAACGTTTATCATATGAAGTATTCCTTCTGGTTTTCACTTAATGCATTGTGTGAGTTGGGCTCATTATTGAAAGGAAAGTCAGTACTGTCTTCAGGCTTTGGTCCCTTAGGTTCTCTGGTTTGAAATGTTTCTTTTCGTTGATACAAGAATCTTGCCATTATTGCCACCACACAGAGGACGACAAATATGACAACTGCTATGACACCTGTAAATTAAGATCAATTCAGTGACACAAATTAATTTCACATTTCAAATAAAAACATTTCTGAGAAAAAATTAAAATGCCTTTCTACACCTCCTTGGTTTACTCCAGTTATACTTTTTTATTTATTTTGAATGCATTATAAGGTTCTTAAGACTCAGATATGATACCATAAGATTAGTATTGTATTCTATTCTTAATACCCTCACTTATTTTATTCACAATTAATTTTCTTAATGAGAAACAGTTATTTTATATAACCTCAAACACAGACTTTAATACATGGAACAATAATCCAATGTTTTTTAATGAAAAAAAAAGATTTCCAGCTGTAACTTTCTTCTTCAGCTATTTTGTTGATTTTCTCCACATTGGTGATATCCAGTTAAAGTAAATTATATGCAGCAGTACAAAAGAAACATATGATATTTATATGTAATTGAACAAGCATGCTTGATTACTGAGAAAATAAAAAAAAGTATAGCAGGAATGTCCTCATCAGTACATAGCTACTAAACATGAAGTTACTTAAAGATGCTATTAAAATAAAGTCTATTAATACTAATATTAATTATTGTAACATTATTACCACTCCTCCTCCTGGTGCCTTTTTAAAAAAATAAATAAAGGTTTAAATGAGTTAATAAATTTAACAAAGCTACATTTTCATTTCTATGATGTTTATATTCAAGAAATGTCTAGTTACTCATTATTTTATGTTTAAAAAGCCGGATACTGCATTTTGGTTGTGGTGAAGGGGAGTCACCATTACCTGTAAAGAGCTTTGAGTGGAGTGTCCAGAAAAGCGCTATATAAGTCTAAGCAATTATTATTATTATTATTATTATTATTATTATTATTATTATTATTATTAAAATAGACTTTTTAAAACTTTGCTGCACTGCTGTACACAAATGCACAGATTGTAATACACATTTCTTCATTTTAATTTTAATCTGTCATATTTTAATTATTAAACCGTTAATTTTGAATATTTAACTGCAGATTTAATGTACCCCCCATTCGTGCATGTAACTTCATGCCATTAATCATCTTAAAAGTTTATTTTTCCATAAACTGTTCTATTGAAACTGTTCTTGACTTCATATTCACACATTAAATAGTCCTGTGGAAAAGTAAACAAAGTTTGTACTATACTTTGTTTTAGAATATATCTAATGTAAGCCATTGGTCACCCTTTTGCTGTCAGAATGTAAAATAATATTTTTCTGGCAACAGCTAATTTCCCTGTTACCTCCAATTAGAGCAGAGTCACTCCTGATTGTATTGACTATTGGCTGACCCTCGTCTATTGGACCAGAATGATCTAAAGCAGGAAAAAAGGCAGAACAGAAAATTTAGAACAGGACAGAAAATTAAGAATAAGTAAATTCATCTATGTTCTCAGCTCATAAAATATTCTGTATACTATTTCCTGAGAAGCTTTGTTTCCTCTGTAGGTTTTCAATGTAAGCAAAGCATGGCATTAAATACTGTTTTTTTATTATTTGGGAATAATGTTTTGTAGTTATTTGTGAAACTCTGTGTAGGTTTTGTTCCTTTCATCAAGTGTTTTAATATTTTTGTGCTTCATAAGTGTGTGCAATTCACTCTACACCACATTGAAATGCAAAACTGACATACAGTATGAGTGTTGTTATCTCCTGGTGAAAGTGAAGCATTAGAATTTCACTCCAAATACATGTTCAAATGAAATAAAGTTATAGGATACATTCCAGAATATTACTATGCAACCACACAAAAAGATCATGTTACACTAATAATACAGTAATACAGAATTATTCAGTGAGTTCTTAAGTGGTGAAACATAAATGGTAGATCATAATAAGGAAATGTAAACTATTAAGCATTGAAAAGACACAAACAATGCAGATGAAAAAAGAGCTATATCTATTGAATGATATAAATATACTATAAAGTTTAATTCTAATACTTAAAATTGATTTCAGTAAACCATAAATATAATATCATCTATTTTTTAATACTTTTTCATCCAATATAGAGTCATAAGGGAACCAAAGCCTATCCTAGCTAGCAATGAGTGCAAGGCAGGAAACACCCTGGACAGGACATCAGTCCATCACAGAGCATATACTCATACCAAGACCAATTTTTCCAGAAGCCAATTAACGTACCAGCGTGTCTTTTAACTGTGGGAGGAAGCCGAAGCACCTAGAGGAAACCTACACAATATGGGCAAAACATACAAAGTCCACACTGATACCACCCCAAGTTCAGAAATCAACCCTGGGCCCCAGTGCAGTGAGGCAGGAATGCTAACCAATATGCCTCAATGCCTGAAGGCTTACAGGTAATATTTAATTCACGTGATCATGTTAAATTACAGACACTTAATCAATTAGGTATGTGTCAAAACCTAGAAAAACTTTGTCTAAAAAACAAACAGTTGTCTTCAAGAATTGATCTAAAACATTAATACAACATGAAATAATGTACGTTTATAAACTTATAAATATAAAACATATGTAGCAGCGAGGCTTAATAATAAGAAAGAATTAAGTGTTCTGGGCTTTCCCAAATGAGGCCCCATTTCTCTGTTCATCTCTGTGGTGCAGCCACAGAGAAACTATTCATGCAGGCTGATTTAAGATGTTTTCTTTTGATAAGAAAC